TAACGAAACGTCGAGAAAATGCGTCCTTTTACTCCATGCTCCATCAAGTTCGACGTTCTACCCTGTCAGATTTAAATCTTAAAGCTGTATACAAACGACGATATGATCTCGTCTCTTTGTTGTCGAAGACTAACTACTTTGAAACTGCTTTTGACAAAAAAAAAAAAGATTAGGTTAGGTTTGAAGTTAAGCACAAAGCTACATAATGGGCTGTCTGTGATCTGCCCACCACGGGTATCGTAACCCAGTTTCTGGCATTTTTAAGTCCGCTGTGCCACCAAAAAAAAAGGACAATTGCTAACGGCAGACATGAAGGATACATTAATGCTGAGAATTTAGCTTTTTAACTTGAATTGAATGATGATTAACACGTGACTAAAACTGAGATTACATGGCCTTATATTCATAAAATATATTTAAAAAATACCTTAAATTACATGTATTTAAAACAACTTGACGTCGACACAAACATTTAAACAAATTTACTTATTATTGCTAATCAAATTTGTGGCACAGGAGGTACGCCTAAAAAAAATGCTAGAATTCACACCTTTATCAAGAAAAAGTGATTTCACACCCACAATAACATTACGAAGTACTGAAGAGTAATATTTTTAAGCCGTACTTCATACAAGAGTGAACCTGTTTGTAAATGTCAACATATTTTGTAGAGTTACAACAGCTTAAATTATGTTTGTTAAATTTTATTCTAATCATAAAGTTATCTTAATGAAAGCGAATCTTTTAACAGTATTTTTTTTTTCAATTTTCACATGCCACTTACATGACTTTTGAGGCCAGGTGGTTAGGGCGCTCGAATCGCAATCTGAGGGTCGCGGGTTCAAATTCCCGTGCCACCAAACATGCTCGCCCTTTCAGCCGTGGGGGCGTTATAACGTGACGGTCAATCCCACTATTCGTTGATAAAAGAGTAGCCCAAGAGTTGGCGGTGGGTGGTGATGACTAGCTGCCTTCCCTCTAGTCTTACACTGCTAAATTAGGGACGGCTAGCGCAGATAGCCCTCGTGCAGCTTTGCGCGAAATTCAAAAGAAACAAACAAACATCACATAACTTTTATTCTGTTTATAAATTCACACATTTACACATTTTCACACACATATCAGGATCGTGAACTTTTATTTATTCTGATCTTACAACTTTAGGACGTGAATTCAGTAACGAATGTGTGTGTCTGGCAGATTCAGACCCCAATCACACTTTTTTTTTCTCTTAAGATGTATATTCTTAATTCAAAATTTTGCCGACTTTACACCAGTTTATTTAGTGAATTCTTCACTTCCAAACTTCGAAAGTTTTTGGATCATTCAAAAATCAGATTGGAATATCTATTTCTTTTTTTACAAATAATTTGAGCCTTTAAACTTAAGTATCATTTTAGTGTGAAAAACAAACATTTATTAATTCTGCGGTGACGATTTTTAACTTTTTCAAAACGTGAAACGGCTTCCAACTTTACGACTTTACTAGAAACGACGAAACAGTAAAAGTCACAAAGTAACAGTTTCAACGAATATTTGTGGCAGGTTAGGCGGGATCCATCTTAAAGTCTTTAGATTTTAAAGACGAATATTACAACAGGCGTATAAATACGAATATGTAGGGTTGAGTACAAGAATACTTAAAGTAATGCTTAATCCTCAGGTAGGCATAAACACATTTAGAAAATTTCTCAGTTATAGTGAACTGCCGCTAGGTGGCGAAATAACACATTGGGAAATTTCAAAGCCAATACAAGATAGAGATAAGTTCGGACACGAATCAGAGTTTATTTAGCTTCCGACTCATCCGGAGAAAAAACAATAAAAACTCGGTAGATCCGATTATATCCGAGTTTAGATCCGATCGTATTCGGACTTATCCGACTCGTATCTGGAAAAACGACCTTTTTATCAGATAGCATCACAGCACTCCCAATCGCTGTCATTCGACGTGTCTGAAGCAAAAACCCCGTATTTTTAAGTTTCACAGTTTTAAGATATATATTTAGTTTAAACTATACAATTAGCACGAGAACTATTAAACATTAACCAATCAGATTTTTGATATATATATAT